ATTCACGGGATTATCTTTGAATTAGTTTTCCTGTGTAGCATGTTAAAACCTGTTTATCCACGAGATTATCACTGAATGAGCTTTTTGTGTAGCATGTTAAAACCTGTTTATCCACGGGATTATCTTTGATTTAGTTTTCCTGTGTAGCATGTTAAAACCTGTTTATCCACGAGATTATCTTTGATTTAGTTTTCCTGTGTAGCATGTTAAAACCTGTTTATCCAGGAGATTATCTTTGATTTAGTTTTCCTGTGTAGCATGTTAAAACCTGTTTATCCATGGGATTATCACACACATAAGTTGTTTAACTGAAACTACAGAATAAAATATACTGAAGTGAGATCTACCCAAAACGCAGTAATCCACATATAAATCCAGTTCTGTATTTCAGGTTAACGTGAAGAGACCATTACAATATAGTGAACTGTGCAGTACATCAAAAGAGTCTTTAAATAATTATTTTACGCTCGTTGTGTGTCAGTGCTGGAAAGCATAAGCGATAGGGGTACTGGAGAATCGTAAATTTTATGAACATAATTGAGTTTATCCAGTAGGCCTAATATTTGAGATAAGAATCAGCTGCAAATGTTATCTTAATTCATGTCACCATGGTTACATGATGCAACTACTCAAAGATCGATTATGTTGGGAAGGAGAAATGCTTCGCTACCTACTGTATGATACCCATTCCTGGAAGCGATGGTTGAGCATTGTTAGGATCTTGACAAACGTTACTATGGCCACAAGCACAATAATGCGAATAATCCAAATATAGCTAATGCTTGGCGATTACAGTGTTTGCACAATGTCTGTTTTCAAGTGATCAGACTGGAAAATGTTTCAATCGTAGAAAATATCATCAGAGTAACGTACATGATAGTCTGTCTGGTAAAAGACGGGGGAATTTTGGGAAAAACAAAAGTTCGGTGTCTATAGCTACGAAAACGATATATCTAATAGTTACAACAGCCCTGTAAAACGGTGGTATTTTCTTGTTATACACTTTACATTTGTTCTACGCACGTAGGATTAAATTTGGTCGGAGGGGGGGGGGTGGCAAAAAAAAGTTTAATTGGAGTTTAATTTAATTTGCTATAGCCTAATCTTTTGACAGGGTTGTCTCATTTCTAGCTGTGGCTGAGCAGCTCATAGAACGGCTCTGAGTTGTTTTCTTCAAGTACAAACGCCTGGCATGACCAGGTGGTTAGGGCACTCGACTCGCAATCTGAGGGTCGCGGGTTCGAATCCCCGTCCCACCAAACATGCTCGCCCTTTCAGCCGTCGGGGAATTATAATGTGACCGTCAATCCCACTATTCGTTGGTAAAAGAGTAGCCCAAGAGTTGGCGGTGGGTGGTGATGACTAGCTGCCTTCCCTCTAGTCTTACACTGCTAAATTAGGGACGGCTAGCGCAGATAGCCATCGTGTAGCTTTGTGCAAAATTCAAAACAAACAAACAAACAAGTACAAACTTTTAGCTCATAGCTCTGTCATCTCTTGACCGATTTGAGATATAATTACAGTTTTGGCCTCAGGAAGTCAAACCCTTTCAACTGATGTATTTGACCACGTCAAAGGTCTCATAGATTAATTCATTCTAATCCTGCCTAAAAAGAATTTCAATTTGAGGGTGGGCTCGTAGAGATCCTGATGGGTAATAAAATCGAATCAGGTATACGCGCGCCCCTAGCTTGGTATTGCTGGCGCACAAAAATATAGCTAATAAAAAGGAAACAAAGGTCTCATGGACTAACATACTCCACTCCTGCCTAAAGGAATTTCAAGTGCCGCGGCTATTGGGGATTCCCTCTTGAATTCTTTTAAAAGGGGTGATTACCTTGGTTTTAACATCAAGATTTCCACTAGTTCTACATTTTCCTTGCCTCTATTTGAACGGTTACCTTGTTTTGACCACCGTTTCTTTAGGTTTTCCTTGCCTCTATTTGAACGGTTACCTGGTTCTGACCCACCGTTTCTTTAGGTTTTCCTTGCCTCCATTTGATTGGTTACCTGGTTCTGACCCACCGTTTCTTTAGGTTTTCCTTGCCTCTATTTGAATGGTTACCTCAGTTCTGACCACCGTTTCTTCAGGTTTTTCTTGTCTATATTTGAATGGTTACCTAGTTCTGACCCACCGTTTCTTTAGGTCTTTCTTGCCTCTATTTGGGTGGTTACCATGGTTCTGACCCACCTTTTCTTTAGGTTTTTCTTGCCTCTATCTGGGTGGTTACCATGGTTCCGACCCACCGTTTCTTTACGTTTTTCTTGCTAATTCTAGTCTCATCGTTTATCGAGGTACACCTGCTTACAAGGATAATTATCTAACTTATCGCATTGTTACAAAATTAAAAAGTTGTTAGAGACTCGTAAGGGTCACGAGTACGGTTCACTGAAATGTTTACTTGTTCTACAGTAATTCCTGTACGCTGAATCTGAAAATGATATCAATTTTTCTCCATCACGTACAGATTTTTCACAAAACGTCACAACGCATTACATAAAAGAAAAGCAACAACATGTAGTTTGGAGACTAAAAGACGTAGATTTCACACAAAAAATCAGGATGAATGAGGATGCATATTGGTTTAACATCAATGTTCTTCCCTTTTATTCAGTTTGCTTGTATTTTTGTTAACAAACATAATAATACAAAATGTTCATTGTGGTAAACGAAATAATAATTTGATATAACTAAGAGTTTTTTCTTCCCAATTTGTAAAAAAAAATCCTTACGTGATAGAAAAAATGAATATTATTTTTGAAATATGTGTAGCTAAATTATGGAGAATCCGCTATTAAAACCAAAACAACTTCTATGAAGTTTATATTCCAACAGTGGATATATATAAAAATAAAATCTGATAACTCACCAGTGTGATGCTGCTTGAAGTGGACGTGGTCAGCTTACTGGGAGTGCCTGGTTCTTTGTTTATTCTTAATTCATCATTGTCTCCACAGCTGACTATTACCGGAAGACTAAATGGTCCAGAATCTAGAGTTTCGTATGACCACTGGTCACCGAGTGACCTTCGACTATTTGGAGGTTCTAAAGTGTACGGGATAACCGTACTGAACTGAAGATCTGTCAGATCTGGGACGGATAGGCTTTGTTGATGTACCAGCTTCGAGTCTATTTTCTTATTTTTGTCTGAGCTTATAATTTGATGGAATTCTGATGTTTCTGTCTGTTTGCCTTCAAACATAGCATCTTCGGGTACACTAGCAAGTTTCTCACTACTTCTACATCTTCTTGTATTCGTCTCAGTTGCTCTTGACAACTGAAGGTTTTTTCCTATATAACGTTTGTTGTTTACTGGTAAGGAAAAGGCTTTCTGGTTTGCCAATTTCCTAGGGCTGTCAACTGGAGGAGCGACAGTTATGGAACAGCTGAGTTCTTGGCCTACTGGTTGACTTTCGGAGATTCCTTTCTGTCTTTGGTAAAATGCCAACACGGCTTGTTTCTGTATCGCCTTTAGCTCTGGATCAGAAACACGATGCTTCTTTTCAGGATCCAGATACAATACTCTTTGTCCAGAGTTATCAGATTCTGATAACGAACTACGAACACAGCGGTTCGATGACACGTGGGTTGCTTCTGTTACTTGTTCATGTACTTTATTAGATGTTGCTCGAATTTCTATTCCTCCATTACCAGAAAGATGAGATGTATCCTCATGGGAAACGGTTAGTTTTGATATACTGTTTAAGTTTTTTACTCCATTACGAACAACGCTTTGTTGTTCTATTAACGCCTGCGAAAAACCAGGAAATGACGAAGAAAAACTCGGGGGTACATTAAGTTTTCGTTCCTCTGCTTGATATTGGATCATCTTCACTCTTTGAGACACACTGATTCCCGTGGATTCTTGTTTGTTTACGTCTTCTTTGGGAACGGATTTATGTACATTTTTAGAACCTCTGCTGTAAGTATGCCTCAGGATTGGTGTGTAGTATAGAACACTTTCTGACTCGTGTCTCTTAGGAACTTGAACTTTGGAACTGTGGGCTATATTTTCCCGTTGCAGATCATGTCTTGCAAATGTATAAGCTCGAGTTCTTGGATCCAGAAAGATGGTAGATACGCTTCCGTCACAGGAGGACTGCGGTGACAAGCGTCCACTGTCAGGCATTGTCGAAAGACCACTATCAAATAATGACGATCGGTTTGACATCTGGACACTAAACGAACTCAGGTCACTGTAAGAGCCATGCCATTTCAAGGTCTCCTGGCTACTTCCACTGCCACTATCTACGTTTTCCACAAAGGTTCCTGCTTCACTAGGTGTTTCCACAAAGTCACTGCTAAGTGGTGGTGGCCAGGTGGCGCTCAACGCTTGGTATTCCAATCGAAGTCTATCTAAAAATGGTGTTCCGTTTTCACAAGGTTCTGTTTTAATACCATCCTGGCCCAAAGCTTTCTTACATAGTGATAACTGGCTTTCATAGGTTGAAGTCGACAAAGCAGAATCCTCATTATAGTGCTTCAAAAAGTCATTATATTTGCTCCAACAAGATTCTACTTTGTGGGTACCTCGTTCCTGATTGATAGAAATGTCTCGTTCTGGTGGGGAAGGGATGTTGTAGTCTATATCACCGTAACATCTTGGGATGTAAGATGGACGGTTCTGCGAACTATTTTCAATGTTCTCTGATGTTTCTTTACTCAAAGCTTGTCTTAAAGACGAATCAATCTCGGCCATTGTTGGTTCACTATCTAACATTCTATCATTCAAAGGGATTCGAACGTCTGGTTCAAGATTTGCAGTACGTTTGGTACTTGGGTTTTCTGTCCCCTTTTCCGGTACTGGTTGTAATTGATTGGTTGAAATTTTAAAGCATTTCTTCGGTCTAGAGTAAGCTATTCGAACTTTAGGATAGTCTGTCTGGTCAGTCCAGGAATGAGATCGGTAAGTAGCCATTGTTACGGGTAACGAGGAAGACTCTAGTCCTACGGATGCTACAGGCCATGATGGGTACTTTTCATGAGTAAGCATTGACTTATGATATGCCATACTTGATTTTCTAATTGGGGGAGGTGGAGGAGGTGGGGATTTTTCCCTATTCATTTCTTTATTGATCACCATTTTTTCAAGAGAAATTGTATTTTTTTCGCTTTTTATCAATTGCTGTTTATTTGGGACATAGGCATGATGGAACAAATTTTCTTGAGAAAAGCACCGTTTGTTTTTGGCATCAGAAGTCGAATTTTTATATTCTTCTACTGTATTACTATTGATGTTCAGACAACTTCCACCAAGGTCAAGAGATTGTCGACGTCCCGAAGAATAGGACAAGCTTTTACCACTGTTGATTCCTTCCCGACAAGGTTTACCTTGAATTACAGGGGCAAAATCTAACCCACTTTTGGAGGCTAAAGCTTCATACACAGAACCTTTCTTGAACCTTCTTGTAACCATGTCTGCATCTTCACCCAGGTTGGGAGAGGAAAAAGAGTTGTTCACAGAAGATGTGGTAGATGAAGTTGGAAGAAAATTAGGGCATTGATCCTTTGGGATGCGTTCAGAAATGTTGTTGGAATTAGAGATTTGGACCAAATGTTGAAGCTTATTCTGGTTGCTGTGAGACTCTAAGCTTGAGTTGTGGCTACTTAATTGTAGTTGTGTGTTATTTAGTCTCTTGTGAGCGTCAAAACGCTTCTGCATTTGACTGTTCTTTGAAGGACATATTGGATTCTGATCAACGTGGTCCTCTCTCCTTCTTTCTGAAGAACATCCTTGGGAATAACTTTGGCTCCGGCGAAGACATTTCGATGCTTCAGAATGAGTCCTATAAATGTACCAAATAAACGTAAATTAAATATATTTCCCACCAACCGAAACATGTACACACATTTTAAAAGGTAACACACTGGACTATATACTTTATGTTATGATTCTAACAATTTCCACAAGCATCCAAATAAAACAATTGTTTCTGTAACGTTTTTGTTAATTTCTATAATACCATTTCCATAAAAATAATTTCAAACACTATTCATATTCAGTCTAATGCCGTCGTCAAGACTGACGAACATGGCAACGTCAAAGGTCCTCTTCAAAGCCCCCACCATAGCATTCCCCCTAGCTGTTCCTCCATCGAACCTGCTTCCTTCTGTACGGCAATTCATCCCAATCATCCAATACAATAATTTTATTTTATTAAGTGTGGCTTTTTATGAATTTCGCGCAAAGCTACACGAGGACGCTATCATTTTATTAAGAGTTGATAATGTGGTGTACATATTTAGTGCGCATGAGAATTTTATTTTTATATTTGTTTGTAGAATTGAGGCTTAGAAAACTTTAATACCTGCCTGGTTCATTAGCGCCCCCTGAACGAAGAAAAAGCATAATTTAAAATAATCATTACTCAAGAAAATATATTTAAAGTACATCGTTTCAACTACTAAATGATTATCACTCAAGTTGTGAAGATCGTTGCGTGCCCACCTTGGAATAGAAGAAAATTCGACGACGAGGCGAATAATAATAAAAACATCAACACAACTGATCGTTGAATACAAAATGGCGGTGTAAATAGGACCGAAAGAGAATTATTATAATTCATGTTGCCACATACAATTCCCAATGTTGGTTGAACTAAATCAACGACGTCCTTCTTCAAATGAATGAAAGCGCAGTGTTGCGGCAATAAACCAAAACAAAGGAACATTCCAAGTGTCGGTTTATATTGCACTGTGAGATTTACACGTTCAAAAAATCACAAACTTTTATAGCGTTCAGTTCACCGTAATAGTTTTTCTTTCACACACACCCGTTTCCACAGTAACGCTATAACCTGACTTTTTTTTCGTTTTTCTTTGTTGTTTTTTTTTGTCTACCAGCCGGATTCTTTTAATTTTTATATGTCGATACTTGCAAAACAGGCAGTTCTGATCTATTTATATTCCATGGAGCATGTATATTGAGAAAAAATTATAGCTATTGTTCTACGTTATTCTAAACCATTAAGATTACGTTTCAGCTGAAAGTGCCGCGCGTCTATTAAATCTCTGTTACGTAACGCAAGTAAGAACGTTTACAATTTTCAGTCATAACGTGCTTTCTGTGAGAGCACCTAATGCTGGTTATTACGTAACTCTAGTGATTATATGTAAAGATTTTTTTTCTATTTATCAGAAATGTAAATTCAATTTGATCGTTTCGATGCAATAAACAAGCAACTTCCGTTTGTAAAGAATTCTTGAATCTCACATTTCTACTTTTATTAAATGGTAAACATTTTTACTCTGTAGAAACGACCAACATGTAATATGATACGTAACTTCTAAACGTGACGAGAAAAGAGTATAGTTTACAGTATTGTTTATCACCAAGATGTTATTCCAGCAGATAAACGTTTTTAATACTGTTTATCACCAAGATCTTATTCCAGCAGATAAAAGTTTATAATATTGTTTATCAACACTATTTTTTTCCAACAGATAAAGGTTTACAGTGTTGTTTATCAACATAATCTTATTCCAACAGATAAAGGTTTATAATATTGTTTATCAACAATATCTTATTCCAACAGATAAAGGTTTATAATATTGTTTATCAACAATATCTTATTCCAACAGATAAAAGTTTATATTGTTTATCAACACTATTTTTTCCAACGGATAAAGGTTTATAATATTGTTTATCAACACTATTTTTTTCCAACAGATAAAGGTTTACAGTGTTGTTTATCAACATAATCTTATTCCAACAGATAAAGGTTTATAATCTTGTTTATCAACACTATTTTTTCCCAACGGATAAAGGTTTACAGTGTTGTTTATCAACGTAATCTTATTCCAACAGATAAAGCTTTATAATGTTTTTATCAACACTATTTTTTTCCAACGGATAAAGGTTTATAATATTGTTTATCAACACTATTTTTTTCCAACAGATAAAGGTTTACAGTGTTGTTTATCAACATGTTCTTATTTCAACAGATAAAAGTTTATAATATTGTTTATCAACACTATTTTTTTACCAACAGATAAAGGTTTATAGTGTTTTTATCAACACTATTTTTTCCAACGGATAAAGGTTTATAATATTGTTTATCAACACTATTTTTTCCAACAGATAAAGGTTTACAGTGTTGTTTATCAACATAATCTTATTCCAACAGATAAAGGTTTATAATCTTGTTTATCAACACTATTTTTTTCCCAACGGATAAAGGTTTACAGTGTTGTTTATCAACATAATCTTATTCCAACAGATAAAGCTTTATAATGTTTTTATCAACACTATTTTTTTCCAATGGATAAAGGTTTATAATATTGTTTATCAACACTATTTTTTTACCAACAGATAAAGGTTTACAGTGTTGTTTATCAACAGTTAAAGGTTTATAATATTGTTTATCAATAATACCTTTTTCCAACAGATAAGGGTTTATAATATTGTTTATCAACACTATTTTTTCCCAACAGATAAAGGTTTATAATATTGTCGTGGAGGCGTTATAATGTTACGGGCAATTCCACTATTTGTTGGTAAGAGAGTAGCCCAAGAGTTGGCGGTGGGTGGCGTTGACTAGTTGCCTTCTCTCTAGTATATTACTGCTAAATTAAGGATGACTAGCTCAGATAGACCTCGTGTAGCTTTGCGAGAAATTCAAGACACATCCAACCATTCAAAGAACTCAGTTAAACACAACAGAGCTTATAGTGGAAAGTGAGGGGTAGGAAATAAGTTTACAAGGCGCATGCGTAGAAATCTTAATGTAAAAACTTACACATACATGGCTTTACCTTCAAAAGATTTAAATTTCATGGACGCTGTCAGTCCATTGTCTATCTTCGTGACAAGGGGGTTGGGGTGTGTGTGCTATAGAACGCTCCCTGTCTCATAATAGAAAACTCACTTTTAGCTCCCTCTCAGTTTCAGAAAAGACATTTTTCGTGAACACGTAACAAATTAATCACGTAGCTTGCTTCCTGTTCATCACTTCTGGAAATTATCCACGTGACCGCAAAAACAACAACAACAAAAATTCACACAACCTAACAGTTATGAACAATTTTCTTTAGTAAAACAACAGAAAAGCAACAGAAAAACAACAATAAAAAAACAGAAAAACAACACCATCGTGAACATAAAATGATACAGTCTTGCCTGGAAATTTTTGACTGAAACAATTGGAAAAAATATTTCGTTCTCAGTAACATCATCAGCAAACATTTTTTTTTTTCACAGAAATATCATGATTTATGGGAAATGTAAATTCTAAGCAGATTTTCAAGACAGACAGTAACAACTTGAATCGATGCTATGTTTAGAACAATAAGAATATACTAACTGTCTGGATGTTACATTTAGTTTTTATAAACATAACGCTTTGTGTGTGTAAATAAAAGTTCCAAATGAAACATACTTAATTCAGTTCGAATTACAGTCACTAGATGGCAGTCGCTCAGCGAAAATTAGCATGAAATGTCGCCTTTCGATATTACGAAACGAAACATACGTGTACTACAAAACTTTCTATTTGTTTAAAATGAAATAGTTATTTATACGAACTTACATCGTTTGGAAACTAAACCTCACTAAAATATAGACAGTATTTAAAATAAACATCCATCAATGAAAGAAATTACAACATTATATCTTAGGCTTAGTAATTCATTTATTCTAAGAACGTTTGAGTGTAGAAATACCTGCCACAACCGTTGCTCATGAGGCCTTTCGTGCTATAACCAAGGCTCATCATGCCGACTGGGATACGGCAGACACAATACTAACATTAACTACACGAGTAACAACTGTAATTGATACGACAGACACAGTAGTGACATTAACTACACGAGTAACAACTGTAATTGATACGACAGACACAGTAGTGACATTAACTACACGAGTAACAACTGTAATTGATACGACAGACACAGTAGTGACATTAACTACACGAGTAACAACTGTAATTGATACGACAGACACAGTAGTGACATTAACTACACGAGTAACAACTGTAATGGATACGACAGACAGAGTAGTGACATTAACTACACGAGTAACAACTGTAATTGATACGACAGACACAATACTAACATTAACTACACGAGTAACAACTGTAATGGATACGTCAGACACAGTAGTGACATTAACTACACGAGTAACAACTGTAATTGATACGACAGACACGGTAGTGACATTAACTACACGAGTAACAACTGTAATTGATACGACAGACACGGTAGTGACATTAACTACACGAGTAACAACTGTAATTGATACGACAGACACGGTAGTGACATTAACTACACGAGTAACAACTGTAATTGATACGACAGACACGGTAGTGACATTAACTACACGAGTAACAACTGTAATTGATACGACAGACACGGTAGTGACATTAACTACACGAGTAACAACTGTAATGGATACGACAGACACAGTAGTGACATTAACTGTATGAATATAGTCAAGTATAATTATTATCAGTTTCATTTAAGTCATTTACGAATCAAAATTAGCTATGTATTACTCAGAATTACACTCTGGAGACGTGTAGATAGAAGTTGATCAATTATTCAAGTCGGGCTTGGGCTTGGCCAGGTGGTTAGAGTGCTTGACTTACAATCTGCAGGTCGCGGGTTCGAATCCCCGTCCCACCAAACATATTCGCCTTTTCAACTGTGAAAGCATTATAATGTAACGGTCAATCTCACTATTTGTTAGTGAAAGAGTAGCCCAGGAATTAGCGGTGAGTGGTAATGACTAGCTGCCTTCCCTCTAGTCTTTCACTAAATTAGGGACGACTAACGTGGATAGCCCTCGTGC